GCTACTCGGCACCAGCGGAGAAAACAGCGCTAGTGATGTATATAATATACATAGGTATCCGGTTCATATCAGATCAGGTCCACTGTATCAGAAGTGACGGTTGCGAGCGCCGAAATCGTCAGATGGGTCAAGTGCTTCAGACTTGCGGGGACTCATCCATGGGGTCCTCACAGGGTCCTCTGATACATTCATGCATCATGTGCAAACAGCCCCCGGGCTGAGACGCTGTGGACACGGGAAATCGAACGCTCGCGGACAAAGACCCTCTGGAATGCAGAGCCAAAAGGCAAAAGGCAAAGAACACGTCCTTGAAGTCATCCCAGAAATGATATCAATGCAAAGAACGTGGAGTGTGGAGGAACATGTGGATTTGAACACAGACACATAATGATAAATGCATGGTGAGAAACACTTGTAGGGCTAAAATCCTTGTGACACAACCCACGGTGAGGAGGATTTTCGATGATCGGTTCCCACTACATCTTGCTGTCAAACTGCAGGCAAACTCCGAGTGAGGCCCGTGGTCGAAATCTCTTCAGCTGGATCTTTTGAAATCAAAGGATGTTGAAACATAGGGGCCATCTACTGCAAAGGCAGTGCCATCCTGGACAATTTGTTCGGGAGGGCGCCAGAATCCAATCATCAAAAGAGTTGCAGGCTTGCATCGCTGGGCTGCCTTTTTCTAGCCGTTTTTCGCTTAGAGCACCCCAAAAAGACAGTTGTAGTAGATTAGATGTTCCAATTTCAGCTCATGCTCGCTGTGTTTTATTTCTGACTGGTGGCTCCCTGAAACTGTCGACTGTCGAAGGGTTCTTCAGCGAGCCAGTTGCTCTGGACCTGTCGACGGTCGATCGAAGCTGCCCTACTGGACCCAACGTTTCCCGACCATCCGGAGCCGACTCGTTGGGAACACTAAGACACTCATGAACAGAGAGGTTCCTTCTCAAGACACTGAGCCCGGTTCTTCGTTCAGAATGAGGTCCTGGATCTTGCTGTCCTGGATCTTTGCAAGATCCATTGATTGAAAGGTTTCGAGTGCCTTTGTTTGCATCGCTCCCATTGGCATGCTCAACTCTCAGTAGTAAATCGCGTTACTGTTTTGGCTCCAAGCGCTTTGGACCATAAAGTCCTTGTTTCAGGGTAGAATCAAGTGGTTTGCAGGCGCGTGCACTGCGATTGATACATCAAGAAATTGATTGCTTCCATGCAGAGGCAGCGATGTAATTTTGCTTGGAAGTTTGCTTCCAATCACCCCGATCGAGTGAGCTGTTTGTTCATTCTGACAAAGCATCCACAGACAGGGCTTGCTTAAGTAGCAACAATCATGGTTTTTGCAGGGAATGCAACGAACTTGGAACGTTTCTCTGAGTTTCTTAGTCTGTGATGTGAATGAGTCTGGCGACATGACCTGGTGCCATGGCGGCGGACGCACTCAGCGACAAGATACTTTTTGAAGCCGCCCAGGTTGCGGTGAAAACGCTGTCCTCCCTGGACGACAGGAACAAATTGCGTCTATACGCGCACTACAAGCAAGCAAAGGGAGGCGCAGTGCAGGGCTCCAGGCCCCCTGTCTTTGAGCAGATTGCCAGGGCCAAATGGGATGCTTGGTCTGCGCTTCAAGACATGAGCAAGCAAGATGC